TATAAAAAATAAAATTCAATGCTGCTTTACTTGTAATAAGGTTTTTTTAATTCACATATTTACAATGCTTGGGCCCCGATAATGAATTTAAATACCAAACTGGCCCTCGCAGCGAAAAGTTTGGACGCCTCTGCTCTACACAATCCTCCCAATAATCTCCTTTACTCCAAAACCAAAATAATCCCTCTTTTCGACCGATACCTTTCCTTCTCCTTGAAATTTAAATCCAAACAGTCCAACATGGACTAAATTCTGTGCCCCTTGAAACCCAAATATTCTTCCCAAATTTAAATATCCCAGATTATCCATATTCCAATACCTAATGTCCCTCCATTGATACACACTTGTTCCTACTCCGCTGCTTTTTTTTTCTTTTTTCCTCATTTTCTGTTGTTCATTTGTATATTATTATTATAATATAATTAATATAATTATAATTATTATATATAAGACTTCGGTCGTTAGCCCTATGTTAGAATTTATTTATGTATAGAATGTATTTTTGTATTGATGTTTGGCCAATAAATTATTATTATTTATTAAAGATTTTATACATTATTAAAAGTTCTTTATTAACTCTTATTTATGAACATTGACATTAATTTGTTTACATTTATACACAATCGCTTATCTAGAAAACACATTAATCATATGAAAAGATAATTATATTTATATTTTTTTACATATATGAAATAAATTAAGGAAATCTCTTAATTATATTAAGTATCTCAAGATACTTGATCTTTTCAATAAATAGAAATTGCTTAAAATTGAATAGAAATTAATGTTGGAGAAGAGAAGATTTGCGTCTCTCGTTTTGTAGCAATTATAAGCAAATATTGTGTGTCCAATTATATTTAAATGAACACAATCGGTACTGTCTACTGTCTTTTTCTTTTTTATTTCAGGAAAATATATAAAAGAAGAGTTTACTTGATAAACAGTGAGTGATATTCCAATTTCAAATCAGTGTTCAGTGCAAAGAAAAAAATGTTTTCAAAAGGACGTTCAGCGTTTCTGGATTGGGGATTGATGAACAGTTTGCTGATTGGAATCGGAGTTCTTATCGCGATTTGGTACTTTCGATGGCGTCAAAGCAGGAAACATCTGTACGAAGCGGCTGCGAAGTTACCGGTACCAGATTGCGTGACTCAATATCCAATTCTTGGTCATAGCCCTTACTTTATTGGAGACACAGAACGTAAATGAAGTAATTTTAGTTAATTCTTACGTTTTTTAAATATATATTTTTATGTATTTAGATATTTTGAAGAATATTTATTATATATCGATGAACAGTCCGACGCCTTGCACGATCTGGTTAGCCCACAGACTATTCTTTGGTATAAAAAAACCTGAGCAAATGGAAGTAATTCTGAATAGCCAGAAATGCTTGGCGAAGGACGATTTGTACAGGTTTTCCAAGCCGTTGGGAGGGAATGGACTCTTCAGTTTAGATGGTAAAAACTAAACACAAATTTATCGTGCGAATTTTCACATTTTACTGATTTGCAGTAAAGATGTGGAAAGTTCATCGCAAATTGATTGCGCCCAGCTTCAATCAAAGGCTTCTCGATCAATTCGTCGATATCTTCGTCGAGCAGTCCAACATTCTCACCAACAAAATTTTCTCCAAAAAGGTGGGTAAATTCTTCAACGTCGATGAATACATAACAGCAGCTGCATTGGAAATGGTCACTCGTAAGTACTTCCATTATTTACAATATTTAAGAAAAGTACAAACAAAATATTTGTAGAAACTGCAATGGGTATAAAAACTAATAATCAAGAAAGCAATTGCGAACTCGCCGAACAATTGAACAGAGGTTTAGATATTATGTTCATGAGGATGTTCAACGTTCTTCTACATTCGGACTTTCTGTTCCATTTAACCAGTTTTGCAAAAGAAGAAAGAATTATAATAAATTCGTTCCAAGGCTTTATTAGAAAGGTATTCTATTATAACTATTTTTTTTAGTTAACTATCGTATTAATATTGAAATTTGTTTAGGTTATCGCTGATAAGAGAGCAGCTTTCAAGAAGAAAGAACAAGAAATGAAAGAGTGCGTTGAAGCTCAAATTGATGGTGAGTGCAGCTACAAATAAATACTTGTAATCATATCAATTTTAACTTGCAGAAGTCAAAGAGCGTAAAGTATTTTTGGATCATCTCATGGAATTATCTCAGAATCAGCAGTTTACGGATCAAGAAATTATTGAAGAAGTGCAAACATTTATGATTGCTGTAATATTTATACACACTAACAAAAAAATAATCTTAACTAATTTAACTTTGTCTTTCAGGGATCAGACACTTCGGCTACAGTCGTTTCCTTCGTTTTAATATGTTTGGGAATGTTTCCTGAATACCAGGTAAATTAACAATTCTTAAAATCGTACATATTTTTGATTAATTCATTTCAGCAATTGGTTTATGAAGAAATCCTTGAAGTTGTTGGATTAGATCGAGACATCGAGTGCACGGATATAGCGAAATTTAAGTACTTGGAGAAATTTATAAAGGAAACGATGCGGTTGTTCCCAATTGGACCAAACATAGTTCGAAAAATAACGGAGGACCTTGAACTTGGTAATTCAACTTTACTTTCTACAACGAATCAAATATTAATACTTTTTGCTTGTTTGCAGATGGTCATATTCTACCAAAAGACAGTGGATTGGTTCTGGCCATTTTCAGCATCCACAGGAACGATAAATACTATCCCAATCATATGAAATTCGACCCGGAGAGGTTCTCTCCCGAAGAAACTGCTAAAAGACACCCATATGCTTTTCTTCCATTTTCCGCTGGTCCCAGAAACTGCGTTGGTAAATAATACTAACAATTTTCAATTATTTAACCAAATAAACATTCCTCTTTAGGTATCAAATTTGGTATGTCCGTTGTGAAGACAATAGTTGCTACGGTTACCAGAAAATACTTCATAGAAACGACCTTCAAGACAATCGAAGACGTGCGAGTTAAGCAATCATTGATCATCAAGAGTTGCCTCGGATATCCAATAAAATTGACCGAACGTATACAATCTTAATTTAATCAAATTATATAAATATAATAATTAATATTAAATGTTTATATACTATTGAGCGGGCTTATGTTATCTTAATTTTAATGTGTTTTGATATTATGTTCAGAAATTTAATAAATGTTCACCGGCGCCAAAGTTTTAAAACTAAGTTTCTCCCAAAACAATTACTTAATTCACAAAAAAAAATAATTTTATGGTTATACAATACTTTAACACGTTGACACCGACATGACCCACCGGTGGGTCATAAATTATGTTTAATAGTTATCAGCACGCCACTGATTTTGACTTAGTATAACCTTAAATATCTTACGCCAATACATTTCTTATACACATATTAATAATTTTTTAAGCAATTTAGAATAATACGTGATATTGTGACATAATTTATAAATACTTTACAAAATAAATTGCAAGACACATTTCTCAGAATTGTTTTAAACTGTTTTAAAATTATTCAAAAATGTATAAGAAAATTTTAAGTTTGTAATTGACGTAAGATATTTGACTTTTCACTCAGTCCATAGGCGTCCACGATAAATTCTTTCGCAGCAGTCATACCGATTTTTGCCGTCCTTAACGTGTGTTCATACATTAAACCAGTGTTTCTCTAACTTTTTGGTTCGGGGCTCCCTTTTGCACTTACAAATTTTAATAATGTGTAAGTGTAGAAAAACATCAAGATGGAATATTTTTGGCGACCGCCCCACTTTGAGAATCTCGGTTTTAGTATGAATACATAAATATTTCTTTTGTTTTTACGTAATCGACAAAGCCGTTTCTAATATTTGATGATTAATTAGTATTTTATTAACGCATCATTGATATTTTGCATAAAAAATGACGTCTGAATTTACGTCTGTATATTTAATGAGACTAACGTATATATAATGTGTATAACGTGTATATTTAATGAGATGTTATACTAATGATGTTATACTTGATCTCCCATATAGATGTTATAATTAGAAGAATGTTTTTAGTTATTTGTTTTTATTGTTAAAATAAATATTTATTTATATTATATTAGGTAATTTGGAAAGTTTTCAATGGGAAAGTTTTCAATCCACTCAGTGTTATATTATGTTGCAGTTTCAAAACAATTTAATTTAAAAAAAATAAATTATTATTAAAAAAATCATAATTTAATATCAAATAATTAATGCGTGCAAAACTTGATTGGGTAGAAATGCATTGAAGTGCAATTTAATTAGATTATTATACGTTAAAAAATAACTTAAAAAACTAATTAAAATATTATCAAGTTTATTACATGAGACACTAAAATTTCTAGAAGTTACATTCAAAATAAAATTTGTTAAATTTTGTTTGAAAAACAGTAATTAAGTCTGCGTATTTACAAGAATAAATTGTCTTTTGTATGATACAGAGCAATTATATTATGTAATATTTACCATTTTCTCGCTTACAAATAGAGCAGTAAAAGAAACAACATATATTACGCGTTTCTTTTCTTTTTTTTTTTCAATATTTCGCGGCCGTCGTTTGGGGTGGGGGGACAGTAATGTTGAGTGTGTATATAGGCACAGTGTATTGTGTAAACGGTGTTATTCCAGTTTCAAATCTGTGTCAAGAAAAACTTGAAAAACTCGAAGAAACAATAAAAAATAATGTACTCGATAGTGAAAGTACGTTCGGTCTTTCTGGACTTGGGTTTCATGAACACTTTGCTGATTGGATTCGGAGTTCTTTTGGTGATTTGGTACTTCCGGTGGCGTCAGAGCAGGAAACATCTGTACGAAGCAGCCGCGAAGGTACCGGTTTCAGGATGCGTGACTGAACTTCCTTTTCTCGGCCACAGCCTTTACTTCATCGGTGACACAGAACGTAAATATGATTTGAAGCGTTTTAAATACACTTTTTTTTTCATTATTACGATTATTTGTTTAGAGATTTTGAAGAATGTTAATCATATATCGTCGAACAGTACGACTCCTTGCACGATCTGGTTGGCGCACAGGTTGTTCTTTCCTCTATCAAAACCGGAACAAATGGAGGTAGTTTTGAATAGCCCGAAATGCTTGGCGAAGGACGATTTGTACAGGTTTTCCCAAGCTTTGGCAGGATACGGACTCTTCAATATGAACGGTACAAAACGTACATTTCAAGTTGATCTCCTAAATTTAGAAAGTTAATTTTCAGTTGACACGTGGAAAATTCATCGTAAATTGATTATGCCCAGCTTCAATCAAAGGCTTCTCGATCAATTCGTCGATGTCTTCGTCGAGCAGTCCAACATTCTTACCAACAAAGTTCTCTCCAAAAAAGTGGGTAAATTCTTCAACGTCGAGGAATACATAACAGCAGCTGCATTGGAAATGGTCACCCGTAAGTACTTCCATTATTTACAATATTTAAGAAACGTAAAAACAAAATATTTGTAGAAACTGCAATGGGTATAAAAACTAATAATCAAGAAAGCAATTGCGAACTCGCCGAACAATTGAACAGAGGTTTAGATATCATGTTCATGAGGATGTTCAATGTTCTTCTCCATTCGGATGTTTTGTTCAATTTGACCAGTTGGGCCAAAGAAGAAAGAACTATCATAAATTCCTTCCAAGGTTTCATTAGAATGGTATTAATAATAAACTAAATTTTTATTTAACTATCGTATTAATATTGAAATTTGTTTAGGTTATTACTGATAAAAGAGCAGATTTCAAAAAGAAGGAGCTAGAAATGAAGGAGTGCGTCGAAGCGCAAATTGATGGTGAGTGCAGCAACGAATCATTCTTAATTCAATCAATTATTTGTATTTATATCAATTGGAAATTGCAGAATTCAAAGAGCGTAAAGTATTCTTGGATCATCTCATGGAATTATCTCAGAATCAGCAGTTAACGGATCAAGAAATTATTGAAGAAGTGCAAACATTTATGATTGCTGTAATATTTATACACACAAACAAAAAAAATACTCTTAACTAATTCAACTTTGTCTTTCAGGGCTCAGACACTTCGGCTACAGTCGTTTCCTTCGTTTTAATTTGTTTGGGAATGTTTCCTGAATACCAGGTAAATTAACAATTTTTAAAATCGTACATATTTTTTATTAATTCATTTCAGCAATTGGTTTATGAAGAAATCCTTGAAGTTGTTGGATTAGATCGAGATATTGAGTGCACGGATATAGCGAAATTGAAGTACTTGGAGAAATTTATAAAGGAAACGATGCGGTTGTTCCCAATTGGACCAAACATCGTTCGAAAAGTAACCGAAGACCTTGAACTTGGTAATTCAACTTTCCTTTATATAATGAATAAAATATTATTACTATTTGCATATTTCCAGATGGTCATATTTTACCAAAAGACAGTGGATTGGTTCTGGCTATTTTCAGCATCCACAGGAACGAGAAATACTATCCCAATCCCATGAAATTCGACCCAGAGAGGTTTTCCCCGGAAGAAACCGCTAAAAGACATCCGTACGCTTATCTTCCATTTTCCGCTGGACCAAGAAACTGCGTTGGTAAATATACTTGCAATTATCAATTATTAAACCAAATATCTAATAAACATTCCTCTTCAGGTATCAAATTTGGTATGTCCGTTGTGAAGACAATAGTTGCTACGGTGACCAGAAAATACTTCATAGAAACGACCTTCAAGACCATCGAAGACGTGCGAGTTAAGCAATCTCTGATCATCAAGAGTTGCCTAGGTTTTCCAATCAAAGTGACGGAACGTGTCGGTTCTTAATTAAAAAAAAAGAAACAATTTAAGTTATTTATGTACATATTTATATATATTCCATTAATAAAATATCAGAAAAAATAGTGATTGTTTTTTTTTACTCTAGTTTCATAATTAATGATAATTGCAAAAATTAACATTCGTCAATGTCAACGTCGACATAATTTAAAGTAATTGCTGTGAATGACTGATGAAATTCATTAATAAATGTCCAATAATAAAATGAAATTATTAAAATGTTTATTTATTTTCTTAACTATTTCTATCGAGTTGTGGCAACTAATAGCCGAATGATTAAGTCGCCCTACCCACAATCGAACCGGCGCCGGTTCGAATCCTGGTCAAGCCAGGCTCTTTGTGAGCAAAAAGGCCATCGTTCATCACAGATGGACAGTGAAATGAATGAAGTTCAGCATATGGACCTTCAGCAAAGTCGATAGACAAAGACAGTGTTAAGGATAGCAGCAGATTCATAGTTAAAGGAAATAGTGGAAATAGTACAAATTTAAAAAATTAAAAATCATCATAATGGTAACTATCCACCGGGGAAGATTATCCATTTAATGTCAACTGCAATCTTAAATTTACTCAATGTTCACATTGATGAACAGATTTCGAATAAAATTATACGATATAAAAAAAATCTATCGAGTATTCTATCGAACGTGCGTCTCACATTCGTGACATACAAATTTCTCACTGAAGAAACACGTAACAAAATTTAATATTAATTATTTCATTAAATTATAATAAATAACACAGTTTCAAAATACAATTTGTGTTGATTATTTTGCATTTTTTTACAAAGTTTTAAAGTTATAAACATTGAAATGTCAATTTATTTGTAATCATTAAAAATGCTTAGTTTCAATAAATTTCAAACATTCCACACGACAAGTATTTTATTATTATTAAAATTGTGCTCGATTCACACAATATTATTAAAATGTTAATAGAGAAAGCGTTTGAAAACTTGATGATAAATTTAGAAATTATTTTTGTTGGGATGAATTGAAAGTAATTGAGTTCAAGTAAACAATCAATGATGTAGAATGTTCATAATTTTTTAATTACAAAAAAAAAGAAGTAAAAACAGTGCAAGAAATGTTAACTATATTAATCAAATTGTCCAGTAAATTATGGATTTTTTTATTATATTTTGATTACTTAGATCAAATTTTATAATTGTTGCGGTTTCGAATCATAATCAAATATACTTGAAAAAAAAATGTCCAGTAAATTATGGATTTTTTATTATATTTTCATTACTTAATCATAATCAAATATACTTGAAAAAAAAAATGCATTTTTGTTTTGTATTTGCACTTACCATTGATGTGCACTTTATTCGTTATTGACACATGCCATTGGTTCCGTAACGAAATGAAATTCAAGGTCAAACATGATGAAAATCGTTTTGATCGCTTTGTTCAGCTTCGAGAAAATAGAAGATGTCTGCATGTAATTGATGCAATCAAAAGAATGTGTGCATGCTTATCTCGTTGCATTTTTCAATAGGAATTATGATTAAAATTTGTACCAGATGTTTGAAAAACGCAGATAACATTCTTTCACAATCTAGAAATTAGCAATTTATTTATTATTATTATTTATTACATAATCATGGAAGTAATCGAAAGAAATGTGCAGTTTATGGAAAAAATACTACAAATTTTGAGTATAAATAGACATAGCTCGTAGATGAATCAAAATCAAATTTACTGCAAGATTCAAATTGTTGAAATGTATTCAATATTGTTGCTTGCGGATTTGGGATTGATGAACACTTTGTTCATGAGTATCATTTTTCTCGTAATTATTTGGTACTTGAAGTGGCGTCGATCCAGACAACATCTTTACGAAGCAGCTAAAAAAGTGGGTTTGACAGATTGTCAGAAGGAGCTTCCAATATTAGGACACAGCCTTTACTATGTCGGAGACGCAGAACGTAAATATGATGATTCGATGATATATGAAAGATTTATTTTATACTTATGTATGCAGGAATCATGAGAAACCTGCATTACGTTTCATCGAAATCCAGTGCGACGCCGGTCGGATTTTGGTTGGCGCACAGGTTGTTCTTCTGTCTGAACACACCTGAGCAGATGGAAGCAGTTTTGAGTAGCCCTAAATGCTTGGAGAAGGATGATTTGTACAGGTTCTCCAAGCCGTTGGGAGGGAATGGACTCTTCAGTTTAGATGGCAAAAACTAAACATAAATTTATCGTGCGAATTTTCACATTCTATTGTTTTGCAGTCAAGACGTGGAAAGTTCATCGCAAATTGATTATGCCCAGTTTAAATCAACGGATCCTCGACAAATTCGTCGACGTATTCGTCGAGCGGTCCAACGTTCTAATAAACGATGTTCTTTCCAAAAAAGTAGGCGAATTGTTCGACGTGGAAGAATCCATCACCGTGACTTCATTGGAAATAATAACACGTAAGCATTTTCATTTGTATGCTAAAATAAATAATATATAATGAATTAATTGAAGAAACTGCAATGGGAATGAAATGCGCGGATAGTGAAAGTATTCGCGTTTTGTTCGAAAGAATTACCAGAGCTTTCGAAATCTTGTACATGAGGATGTTCAATGTTCATCTGCACTTTGATTTTATATTCAACTTGACCAAATTGTCCAACGAACAAAAATATATCGTTGATTTCTTCAAGAACTTCATCCGTTCGGTAATTACATAAATGCACAAAATTATCTAACAATCAATTAATAATTTAATACATTCAGGTTTACTATGAGAAAAAAGAAGAGTTTCTTCAAAAAAAGGAGAAAGTCGAAGAGGCGCAAATCGATGGTAAATGAGTTAAAAAATCTAATTATGTTTTGAAATTTTGAAATTTCAGAATGTAAACAGCGCAAAGTTTTCTTGGATCATCTCATCGAAGTGTCGCAGTTGACGGATGAAGAAATTATAAACGAAGTGCAAACATTCATGATTGGTGTAATGTTTACACGAGAAAATACTTAAGAAAATACTTTTAACTAATGTTAAGTTATCTTTCAGGGATCGGACACTTCAGCTACAGTTGTTTCCTTCGTTTTAATATGTTTGGGAATATTTCCCGAATATCAGGTACACAAATAATATTGAATATAACTAAATCTGTTTAATCTATTGCATAATTTCAGCAAAAAGTTTATGACGAAATCGTCGACGTCGTTGGGCTGGAGCGGAACTTCGAGTGCACGGATATACCGAAACTTAAGTATTTGGAGAAATTCGTAAAGGAAACGATGAGATTGTTCCCAATTGGACCGTTCATAATTCGGAAAGTGACCGAAGACATGGAAGTCGGTAATTAAACTATTTTTATATTAAATTATTAATATTTTCATATTTTTTTTGTTGTTGTAGACGGCCACGTATTACCAAAAGACAGCGGTTTGTTTCTTTGCATATTCACCATCCACAGGAATGAAAAATACTATCCGAATCCCATGAAATTCGACCCAGAGAGGTTTTCCCCCGAAGAAATTGCCAAAAGACATCCGTACGCCTATCTTCCGTTTTCGGCTGGTCCAAGGAATTGCATTGGTAATATACTCACAAATCGTTGATGAAAGTTTCTTAACAAACTTCTTCTCCAGGCATGAAATTTGGAATGATTGAGGTTAAAACAATAGTCGCTACTGTTGCAAGGAGGTACTTCATAGAAACGAGCTTCAAAAGTGTCGAAGACGTACGACTTAAGCAATCCTTCATTCTCAAGAGTTGCCTCAGTTTTCCAATCAAACTGACGGAACGTGTAGCTTCTTAACACACAATTTGTTATATAACACTTTAAGTGCACCTCAAATTTTATAATTCAATGAGTTAACATCATGAATCAAATATAAGTATATTCGCAATATGTTTCAGCGAATATTTCACAGTTTTGTACAAGGCAAATGCAGAAACCGCGCTGCAACATTCACAGCTCGCAAATAAATTTAATAATTTACATCAAGTGGACTAATTGGACATATAAATTCGCTTATAAACAAAGTTGTTGGAATCAACAATAATATTTTATTAATTGTTTGCAACAAGTGTTAATTATCTTACATTTTCTACATATTAATAATCGATTTTTGTAATTAAATAATATTTATAGTTGTTCTAGAAACTTTTTTTTATTACGATTTAAGATTTTTATGTTCTAATCAGTGGCGTAACTAGCAACAGGTTATACAAAAAATGTCTTTAAACTAAAAAAAAACTTTGTATATTTCGTTTATATACGAGTATATACGTATAAATCTTTTAATATTTGCAGCAACGCCACTGCTATTTATATAATTGTCACTTACAAGGTTCTTAAACGTTTATTTGTAAATTATTAACAACCTCTTATTTTGTTTTTTTTTTTCCTATTCTTTTTAATAGGCGACAATTAGGAAAGACGTATTTCCAATAAGAAATGTCTTTATAAAAGCGAACAACAAGTTGACAAGAAAATCATTACTTCTTTCCACGAATCGTATTGACGTCGGTTTCAGAATGAACGCGTTTGTGAAAGAGAGATCTCTAATTCTCGAGTTAGGTGTTATGAACTGCCTTCTGATTTCCATCGCTGCAGCAGCTCTTGTTTTGTACGTGCGTTGGAGGAACAGCAGAAAACACCTGTACGAGTTGGGAGCCAAAGTTCCGATTCCGGATTGTGCTAAAAGTCTTCCAATTTTGGGGCACAGTCTATACTTCATTGGAGACACAGAACGTAAGATTATTTTGTTTAAATATTAAAGATATTTTACTGAAGAAAATTGCGAGCAGGGATTTTGAACAACGTTAAATACATCTCGACGAACTGCGAATCTCCTGGCACCATTTGGTTGGCGCACAGATTGTTCTTCCTGCTGACAACGCCGGCAGATTTGGAAATCGCACTCAACAGTCCCAAATCTTTGGAGAAAGATGATTTGTACAGGTTTTCCAGATCGCTGGCAGGAAAAGGACTCTTCAGCCTTGAAGGTAACTTCTGATTTTTAGCAACAACAATACAAGTTGATGAAAATCTCAATTTAAGTTGATGCCTGGAAAGTGCACAGGAAATTGATAACTCCAACGTTCCATCCGCGGATTCTCGATTCGTTCGTCAACGTCTTCGTGGAACAGTCCAATGTTCTAGTGGAAATCTTGCAAGGCAAAGTCCACGAAATGTTCAACATTGGCGAACATCTTACGGCCGCAACGTTGGAGATGGTCACTCGTAAGTGATTCAGTTTCAAAGTAATCAATAAACTATTGGAAACCTTTGCAGAAACCGCAATGGGCGTCAAATTGAACAAACAGCTAGGAAATTGCAAACTGGGCGAGCAATTAAACAGGTTATTATTATTTTCCATTTATTTGTTCAATTACTCATTTTTTTTATTCTTTTGCTTAGAGGCTTAGAAATCATGTTCATGAGGATGTTCAACGTTCCTTTGCACTTTGACTTCATCTTCGAGTTATCCGGTTTGGCTAAAGAGGAACGCGGCATCATCGATTCCTTCCTGAACTTCATCAAGAAGGTATATTCACAATTGCATTATATAATGATACGAAAACAAGTAAATTGATTTAGGTGATAAACGATAAGAAGGTTGAAAAGAAGCTGAAAATGTTGGAAACCGAGGCTGAAATTGATGGTAAATATAATTGATTGTACAACAAAATGAAATTGATTAAATTATTGTGTTTATTTGCAGATATTAAAAAGCGTAAAGTCTTCTTGGATCACCTTTTAGAGTTGTCCGAACAAAATTTGCTTACCGAGGAGGAAATAATCGATGAAGTGCGAACTTTCATGATAGGCGTAAGCTCTGATTAAGTTCATTGGAATTCTTAATCGTTTGTAACTTGCAGGGTTCTGATACATCCGCAACTGTGATTTCTTTCGTCTTGGTTTGTTTAGGAATGTTTCCTGAATATCAGGTAAATTGTCTTAATTAATTAATTAATTAATTATATTAGGTAAATGTAAATTGTTTTGCTTGGTTTCCAGCAAAAAGTATACGAAGAAGTAATCGATGTGATTGGTTACGATCGCGACATCGAGTGCGAGGATATACCGAAATTTAAGTACTTGGAAATGTGCATAAAGGAAACCATGAGATTATTCCCAATCGGCCCGAACATCGTTAGAAAAGTAACCGAAGATTTACAAATTGGTAAATTTCATTCTTTCATTCCCAACACAAACTGACTATATTTCTTCTTAGGTGATCACATGCTTCCTGAGGGTTCTGGATTGGTACTGTGCATATACACCGTGCACAGAAACGATAAATACTTTCCTGATCATATGAGATTCGATCCTGAGCGATTCTCTCCTGAAGAATGCGCCAAAAGACATCCGTACGCTTACCTTCCTTTTGCTGGTGGTCCACGGAATTGCATTGGTATTGTTGTTCAGCTTTTGTGTTCTTTTCAAAGTCAATTAATTTATAAAACAATTTTCCACAAGGAATGAAATTTGGTTACAACATGATGAAAATTGTGCTGGCCACTTTGGTAAGGAAATTCTTTATAGAAACGAGCTTCCAGAAAATAGAGGATATAAGAGTTAAACAGTCGCTGATCATCAAGAGCATTTTGGGATACCCGGTCAAACTTACGCCAAGAAATTCCGACTTGATTTAGATGCAGACTTCATGATTTACATTTTTTTAAATTTATATTATTATTTATGTATACTTAATGAAATAATCAAATATAAATAAAAAATAAACTGTTTTTAATAGTGGTTTAAATAGTATGAGAAAATTGAATTAATTACGATTATTACAAACAAATTTCTTGACTAATGATTCACGTAAAATTATATTTTAGAAACACGTTCGACGAACGTTTCTGTTTTTTTTTTTGGTTTCTTGGAAATTGCAGGTCCACAATGTCGAACGTATTCGTTGTTTTTCTTTTTTAATATATAATTTCTGTTATGAAAAAAAATACATAAACCAGTTGTTCGTGTTATGAATTTTTTATTCATTTGTTTTATTTCACAATATTACGGAACGGTGAGCTATTAGATATTCAAGATTTACGCTCAAAGTTGTAAATGCAGTATTGGCTAATAATTCTCTACATTCACATGAAAGAATTGTTACTTAAGTAAACTGGTACATGCATTACGAAAAGATAGAACAATATAATTTTATTACATTTCCATGACTAAATTTTAATATAAAAAGAAAAAAAAATGTGATTTAAATAACATAATGTAACATTTGTAAAAAAAAAGTTATTTGGCTTGTAGAATTTATAAAGATGTGTTAAGAATTGGTTTTTCTTTCTTAAGAAAATCTAATTAAAATTCCTGCAATTTGTTTCTTACTTAAGAATTATTTTTTTCTTAAGAAAATCTTACTAGAATTCCTGCAAATTTGTTTCTTGCAAAAATTAGTGATTTAATTAACCAATATTAAGAAATAACATTTGAAAAATGTTCTTCAGTTTATGGAATTTATAAAGAGGTGTTAAGAATTGTTCTTTTCTTAAGAAAATCTTATTAGAATTCTTGCAAATTAATGTTTCTTATAAAAATTTGTGATTTAATTAACAAGCTTTAAGAAATAACATTTGAAATATGTTCTTCAGCTTATAGAATTTATAAAGAGATGTTAAGAATTGTTTTTTTTTCTTTATTAAGAAAATCTTATTAGAATTCCTACAAATTCCTGTTTCTTACAAATATTAGTGATTTAATTAACAAACTTTAAGAAATTTCAAACATGTTCTTCAGCTTATGGAATTTATAAAGATGTGTTAAGAATTGTTCTTTTCTGAAGAAAATCTTATTAGAATTCTTGCAAATTCCTGTTTCTTACAAAAATTTATGATTTCATTAACAAGCTTTAAGAAATAACATTTGAAATATGTTCTTCAGCTTATAGAATTTATAAAGAGGTGTTAAAAATTGTTCTTTTCTTAAGAAAATCTTATTAGAATTCCTGCAAATTCCTATTTCTTACAAAAATTAGTGATTTAATTAACAAACTTTAAGAAATAACATTTGAAACATGTTCTTCAGCTTATGTAATTTATAAAAAGGTGTTAAAAATTGTTCCTCTTCTTAAAAAAATCTTATTAGAATTCTTGCAAATTCCTGTTTCTTACAGAAATTAGTGATTTAATTAACAAACTTTAAGAAATTTCAAACATGTTCTTCAACTTATGGAATTTATAAAGAGGTGTTAAAAATTGTTCTTTTCTGAAGAAAATCTTATTAGAATTCTTGCAAAATCCTGTTTCTTACAAAAATTTGTGATTTAATTAACAAGATTTCAGAAATAACATTTGAAATATGTTCTTCAGCTTATAGAATTTATAAAGTGGTGTTAAGAATTGTTTTTTCTTTATTAAGAAAATCTTATTAGAATTCCTGAAAATTCCTGTTTCTTACAAAAATTTGTGATTTCATTAACAAGCTTTAAGAAATAACATTTGAAATATGTTCTTCAGCTTATAGAATTTATAAAGAGGTGTTAAAAATTGTTCTTTTCTTAAGAAAATCTTATTAGAATTCCTGCAAATTCCTATTTCTTACAAAAATTAGTAATTTAATTAACAAACTTTAAGAAATAACATTTGAAACATGTTCTTCAGCTTATGAAATTTATAAAAAGGTGTTAAAAATTGTTCCTTTTCTTAAAAAATCTTATTAGAATTCTTGCAAATTCCTGTTTCTTACAGAAATTAGTGATTTAATTAACAAACTTTAAGAAATTTCAAACATTTCTTACAAAAATTTGTGATTTAATTAACAAGATTTCAGAAATAACATTTGAAATATGTTCTTCAGCTTATAGAATTTATAAAGAGATGTTAAGAATTGTTTTTTCTTTATTAAGAAAATCTTATTAGAATTCCTGAATATTCCTGTTTCTTACAAAAAATTGTGATTTAATTAACAAACTTTAAGAAATTTCAAACATGTTCTTCAGCTTATGGAATTTATAAAGAGGTGTAAAAATTGTTCCTTTTCTTAAGAAAATCTTATTAGAATTCTTGCAAATTCCTGTTTCTTACAGAAATTAGTGATTTAATTAACACACTTTAAGAAATTTCAAACATGTTCTTCATCTTATGGAATTTATAAAGAGGTGTTAAAAATTGTTCTTTTCTGAAGAAAATCTTATTAGAATTCTTGTTAATTCCTGTTTCTTACAAAAATTTGTGATTTAATTAACAAACTTTAAGAAATTTCAAACATGTTCTTCAGCTTATGGAATTTATAAAGAGGTGTTAAGAATTGTTTTTTTTTCATTATTAAAAAAATCTTATTACAATTCCTGCAAATTCCTGTTTCTTACAAAAATTAGTGATTTAGCTAACAAACATTTGAAACATGTTCTTCAGCTTATGGAATTTATAAAGAGGTGTTAAGAATTGTTTTTTTTTCTTTATTAAGAAAATCTTATTAGAATTCCTGTTAATTCCTGTTTCTTGCAAAAATTAGTGATTTAATTAACAAATATTAAGAAATAACATTTGAAAAATGTTCTACAGCTTATGAAAAGAGTTAATAATTGTTTTCTTCTTAAGAAAATCTTATTAGAATTATTGCCAATTTGTTTCTTACAGTGATTTAATTATGAAATAACTTTTGAAAAATGTTCTTCATCTTATGGAATTTATAAAGAGTTAAGAATTGTTTTCTTCTTGAGAAAATCTTATTAGAATTCCTCCAATTATGTTTCTTACGAAAAGATAAATAAGTAATTAATACGTATTGCATTTAATAAATAAATAAACAACTATGTAATCATTGCTTGTAGATATAAATAATATCATCTTTTATCATTTCAAGTTAACTTAGAAGTTATATCATCAAACAAAGATGCTTTTCAGTACTTCTTTTAGTCAATTTTAAGTACTAAGGTATTATGTATTAAGTCTTAGGTTGATAAAATTAGGGCCAATAAAAAGTACTGAATTTTAAAGTTAAAGTGTAGATTTGGTTGCATATATTATATACTCTTTGTAGGTTAAATATAGTAGCTCTGACGTAAACATAACAGATTTGGCATCATAGCAATAAGAAGTAAACAATCATTAATCATCAGCTGATTGTACTAGAAACAGTAACAATGGAAAAGCCGCTGGAAAGAGTTATGGAGGAAATGTAAGTAATAGAATGTTGTAAACATATTGCAATAATCTCATATTATATTTTAGCCTAAATACTACAGATGTATTTGGCTGTGTTTTTGCTGATCATCAAGGTTTATGCTTAGGAGGTATATGTCATTGCATCTAACAAAGAATATATGTTAAAATTGAACATTTTAGTAAAAGGTAGAGCTTCGACTGAGAGTGCTGGAGTAATTGGAGCAATAGCAGAGGAAGCTTCAAAGCTGGAACCCAACAGCCGTCCACCAGTCATAGTCCTGGAAAGTGAGAACAAAATGTGTATCATACAAAGGAACGGAACTATCACCGGCGCTATCTATAAGTTAATTTAAATGCTTGTTCTTGTGTAATTATATGTCTCTTCTTTTTTTATACTATTTTAAAATAAATGAATTACGTATGCAACCAAATGTACGTGTTGTTTTGAACCGTTAAAGTAGTGGTACCAACATGGTCGATCGAGTGGGAGGAAAACAAAGCGACCACCATTTTGTGTGCCAAGCTCCTAGAACCTGTCAGAATAGAAGGCGAGAGTGTAGAAAAACGGATTATTTCCCAAATTATCGAGAGAGCTAATGTGTCTGCAAAAAGGACGTCCGGTGTATACGTATTAAATTTTACAGTAAGATCTCTTCGAACGGACAATTTGGTTCAGTGATTAACGTATGTTTTTATGTATTTTAGATTGAAATGCTGCTTGTTGTGTAGTTTCTTGCACCAAGTCTTAAATAGAGTACATATATTTATTTAGTTTTATATACAAGTGCAGTGATCATGGAGTTTTTGGAGCACCCGAAGGAATTTCCATCCAAGGACGATGAAATCCATTATTGGAAGGATCTAGTGGAACGATTAATTGAAGAGTAAATATCATCAACAAATCAAGTTGCACTGATATCATCAGGTTTTTATTACTACTCTTTTTTTTCTGTATTTTAGGAAAGATTTCATTCAAAGGGAATTCGATGATTACACTGCTGATTCTCAGCAGTTGGAGAAGGAGTTTGAGGCCACAATTGAGCAAAACGAGAAGACTATTCGCGAGCTGAGATCCAACAATTGCAGAGCACAAAATGAGCTTGAATCACTTAAAGTAATATATCGATAATTAACGACGTTGCGAGTTTAATTAATTTTCTAATTTCAGTCTCGTTTGGATCAAGCAAACCACGAAAACATGATGTTTGAATCTCAGGTGAAATCTCTGAAGGATGAAAAGAAGGAGTTGCAGTGGAAGGTTCGGGAGCTGGAACAGAAGAACGATGATTTGGAGAGAGCCGAAAGGATGTATACAGAAACTGTGGAGGCTGTGAAAACGACTATGAACAATGTGATCGAGAGGAATGCAATACTGGAATCTGAAGTGGACGAGAAGGAAACGTTGAAGGAGAAGTTACAGAGATTGGTGGACGAAGCCAGAGGTAATACCTCTTGCTTATAATTAAGATTTATTTAATATATATATATGAATTGTGTGCAGATTTGAAGCAGGAATTGAAAGTGAAAGACCGATGCCCGGATAACGATAGGACGATGAACGGGCACTCGAACAACGGTCTCGTGGATTCGAATCGTCTTCCTGTTGAATCTCAAACACAAACCACACCAGTTAAACGTAAGATACCAAAAGTTCTGCATAATTTTGCTCGTTTCGTTGGGAAACCATTGGGTTTGAAAATCAAAAGACATTGAACAGCATGCGCCTAATATCGCTTAAGTTACTTAAATAATTTATTTATTTAATTCTCCCCCAATTATTTTTCTTTATTTATAAGTGATTTTTACGTTGTAAGCGTAACCTAAGTGTGTGTTTCAATTTCATGCAAGCAAGTGCCTTAATAATATACTTATCTATTAACTGTGATTAATAATACATTAAACGATGACGAAAAGAATAAAACGATTAACAAGACTCAAATATAACTTTTTTTTTTGGACTAATTAGACTGAAATTTGTAATTAATTGTTATTATTATTATTAATATTGCTATTTTTTTTTTGATTATTTTCTGTTTGTTTTTTTTTATTTATTTTTAAATAAAGGAAGAATTGTTTTTTGATGAAAAGTAGTAAAATCATTATTTTGTTTCGTTATTGTTTTATTTTAGATTCGTTGCATCCTCTGTTATATTTGAGTCTTGTTTTGTCTGTATGTCTAACACTGTGCATGATCCTTTAGGAACTGTTACGTTTCTTCGCGTGATTCAACAATTTCAATAAATTTCCTACACTTCTATGTACGCATTTGAAACGTTGGCTTTGCATTGATTGGCTTTCAACTTACTATTCATTTTGATCTACTTTTCTCTTTTTTTTTCATATGCGTTGAAGGTTAAAATTAACAATAATATACGTGGGATTTGAATGTACACCTCGAGAAATATTGTATATTTTTCTATTATTTTCAATTAATTTGGAATAAATTAAGACATACTAACAGTATATATTTACTTTTGACTTGGCGATATTTGTATGAGAACTTGTATATGGAATGAAAACAACTTGACAAGTTACTTTGAAATTACCACGTATTCAGTAGCCAACTTAAATCATAGAAACAAGATTTAAATTGAAAAGTTTGCTATGTAAATTTGCATGTTTCCTAGGTGATAGTTGTTTTGTAGCAGTGTTGACATTTGCAGTAGATGTTACTAATTTGAAATTGTATGTAGAATTTTTGTTGTTGGTTTACATTGAAACTTATTATATTTTTTCCTGTTTTCAGGTCATTCTAAGAAGGCCATACTAGTGGATGGACCATTATCCCCATCCTCCAGGATCCTCGCACTGAACATAATCGGCGACTTGATTCGCAAAGTTGGCGTGAGTAAACCCAAAAATTATACATAGACTCGCACTGTTTTCGCTGTACTTTGTTTATTATATATATTTTTAAATATTATGGTAGTTAGTAGAAAATGTTCAAAAAATTTGGGAACTAGTAGCTTCTGGTTATTTTTTGTATACATAGCTTACACGTAGGTTGATTTTTTTTTTGTTGTTATCTCTGAAATGATCACGTGAAAGAACTTGTGCGTCTTTATTATTTATTTATTTTAAGTTTTGGTTTATTTTGTGTTAATGTGTCAGCATGTGCATGGGTGTTGCTTCCAGCTCTCTCGTTTCCTGTGCGAGCACTGTGGTCAGGTGAACTGTTCTGTCTGTCCGTCACCTGCAATCAATTAAAGAAACGCGCTTACGAACCGCAACACCTCCAACGCTCAAAGGTGTGTTTTTCTCTCTCTCTCTATATGTATCTACCAAAAAAAAACAAAGCCCTAAAAACGAATCAAAATTTAATTTAAACAAAAAAGAGTCCATGTGATGTTACATAAGAAGTACACGAAAAGATACAAAAATATCAGTAACTTCAATATCTAGTAACTTCCCAGTACTTTGTACATTATGCTTTATACATTTTCAATGGGAACTACCTGTGCAGCTAATATGGACCAATCGTAGAGCTGAATCAATAATTCACGTCCTTACATTTTACTTCCTGATTGGTTCCATTCCAGGGATGGGCGGCGCTTCGACTAATTCGGGTCTAAATCGAAAGTCCAACAACCGAAATTTCGACTGTATCAAAATTCCGACAACCATAATCCCGACTGTATCAGAATTTCGACAACCATAATCCTGACTATATCAAAATCCCGACTGTATCAAAATCTCGACAACCATAATCCCGACTGTATCAGAATCTCGAATACCATAATCCCGACTATATCAAAATCTCGACAACCATAATCCCGACTGTATCAGAATCTCGACAACCATAATCCTGACTGTATCAGAATCTTGACAACCATAATCCCGACAACCATAATCGACTATATAAAA